TTCTTTTTATTATATTATATTAATATAAGATACAATTACATGCTAACTCAACATAATGCACATACCCGTATAGCATAAGAATGTACATGGACACTTTTGGTCATTTTGTTTGCAAGAATTGGTTAAACTTTTATAAAAACAAGAGGCCCATGGGCCACATTGCTCACCTGAGCTTTTTGGCTACAGAAAAGGAAAAAGCAGAAATCAGTTCAGTTTTGAACAGTTTAAATATGTAAGTGGTCCCAACCTACATTCCCCCCTTCACCTTCAATTTAGTGAAGGTGAGGCATGTAACGAAACTAGTAAGCTTGCGTCATTATGTGTATGTTGATAAGGACACTTCCTAAAAGACTACCTGGAAGTTTAAAATTAACTGATGCAAGCACGCTACTGTCCAGATCAAGGAAAAACAACTCATGTTTTGGAACAGGCATCTTCCTTATATATCAGAACTAAATAAGAGTTGTTTCAGCAGGATTAAAAGCACACCATTTCAATAGGTATGTAGTATGGTCCACCTTATCATTAAATAATTATCTAATAATGAATATTAAGTAATTATAAATATTTAATCTTGAAATCTAATTTTAGCTCTGCTAATTAACGCAATTAACTTGTTTACATTTTTTCACAACTGTTACAGCACTGTCTCAATTTGAATTTACATTTTATCTGACAAAACAACACTGTAAAATGTTTTTGTAAATTGTATAATTCTTTTACATATAAAAATACTCTCAATTCTAAAATGAAATAAGTTTATTTTGATGCTGAAAAAAGAAAATCATATAATTTCTTCTGGCTTACCTAAAAGACTCATACACATGATATATGTTTGAAGAAGCACAGTACATATATGTATGTTTGTGGCTAAAATAAATGATTTTAAATCATGAAACAGAGAAAATTTGTATGAATTTCTTGTGATTTGAAGAAAACTGAGAATTTATCAATGAAAGTACTGTTTGTATTTTGGGGGGGGGGGGGGGGGGGGGGGGGCATAAAATAGCTTAACAAATTTGAAACATGATCATAACTTGACAAACTCTTGAAAAAATCTTGTATACATGTACATCAGAACTTCTAAACACCATTTGATGCTGACTGTGGTTTTCAAGAACTCGATCTGTTAAATTTCACATTTATTTGCATTCTCTGATGGATAAAAGATTAAACTCTTTTTACACTTTTACACTCTTAAATTACTGTATATACAAACACGTTCGTTTTGAAGTCACAATAGTCGCAACTTGCCGAAATGTTTGCAGCTATATTTACAATTTCTTGATGTACGTTGTTTATAAATCTTAGGCTTGAATTCACATTATTATATATTTACATTTCCAATAAATTTCCACTATGATTCTTTACAAAATAGAAAACAGTTCATTTTCTCATGAACTACCATGAACGAGCATGAATATCTCAAATGTTACGTCATAATACTGTACTTGATGTCATAACTATAATGCAAACTGTTTTGCTTTAAAAGTGACAGTTGAATGGCATAATTTGTGGCAACTCAGCAGAAAAATAATATAAATATAAGAAATGAATTTAATTTTTGAAAATTCATGAGGTACATGAACTACAACACTTCACACTGGCATATTTATCATGAAGTGTAATGCGCTTCATGAAATATGGCAGCGTGAAGCGTCGTAGTTCATGTCCTCATGAATCTTCAAAAATTAAATTCATTTCTTAAATGATTTATTTTTATACACAAGTTTTCTGCTGCTAAACACAACTGTGGCCTTGTATTTGCAATTCTTCAACAACTGTTTCTGGTTGGAAATCATTGCAACATATGAAGTCAGCTTATCACGTAACTATCATACTAATTAACTCTGAAGTTGTGGATTAGACACAATTAACTGTTTGCTACTCTGACATTATGCAAAGTCATAGCATATGGAGGGTGTTTACACTTTAATAAGATTATAACAGGTCCAGCACAATCTCTTAATTTAGCTATATACCTTGAAAAAGCTATATAGCTTTATTAAGCTTTTCAAAATAGCTTGATAAAGCTATTTATGTGCAGTTTTTCAGAAAAATGTTTTTGTAAGAAATAGACAAAAAGTCGCAAGTATTTGACTATTCATATATGTACTATGGGCTATCAAAACAACCGAAATCAAAGATAGTTCTAATATTGCAGCAGTTGAATACTTTTAAGCAAAAGATGAATTTCCATTGTTTGAGTAACTGTACACTACCTTGTGTGCGTTGAAGCGTGGATAAGTATGATTGCTTCTCATTGTACTGAATTATTACCAATCAATTATCTTGTTGACCATAATTGGCCTTTTTTATAATTTTAATGAAGAAGTAACTTTATCAATACCTGATATCACGATTACTTATCTTTATTGAACTCTTTCGCTGTGAAGGTAGGAAACATCTGTTTGCTGGGGGCAATGTGATGTTGCATATAACGCGAGACCAAGCATTGTGGATTTTTAAAAGGCAAATTTGAAAGAAGTCCTGGTGAAATATTTTGCGGAACATTCGCTGAACCACACTTATAAATTTTAAGAGAACCCAGTCCTCAAGTGTTACATTTTCTAGATACTTTTTCAGTAAGCCAACTCATCTAATTAAGTTCTACAATTTCTTTTTGATTATCGTTACTTTTGGAAGCTGATAAAAAAATCTAAACATTCCAAATAAGACAACCTACTATTTAAAGTTCAACCCTTTGCAATACATTGTACTTTTAGCATACTAATTGTTCAAACCATTCGACTGTCACTAGCATAAGTAATTCATGCCATGGAAATCTCGCAAGATTTAGAGTTTCCTCGACTTTGCCCCAAAAGAGCGGCATTACGTCATATAACTGTGAGGTAATCATGATACAAAGTATTGCTTTATATAGCCCCAAAACTTTTAGAACTTTGAGTACAAAGTCTCCTAGGGAGATGCATTTTGATGAGTGATTTTTACATGCCTTATTTTCAGAAGCAATCTAATTAAAACTAGTTATAATTGTAACGGGGACCGTTACAGATGTTCCCCAAACGCTCCCCAACACCCTTTTGGTGTCTTATTTCCTGTAAGCTTCATTAAATAAGGCAATGAAGTATATTGATCGTTTTTTGCATTTCACGCGTGCGCACGTGCATGCATGTGCAGGATGACCATGTCATCTCATCTATACTATAAAAGCATCTTTATATTCTCAGTATCAAAACATTCCATCAAAAAATATATAAGTTCCGGCTATATCAAGTATATTGGTCATCTTAGCATTGCACGCATGCGCACCTGCATGCATGTTCATAATGACCATGCCATTTTGTCTACACTTATAATATGTCTGTTTATTCTTAGTATCAAAGCTTTTCATAAAAAAAAATAAAAGTTATGGCTATATTAAGTATATTGGTCATTTAACACATTGCACGCGCGCACATGTGCATTCATGAGCATGATGTCCACATCATCTTGTCCACACTTTTAATATATCTGTATATTCTTAATATCAAAGCTTTTCATAAAAAAATATAAAAATTACGGCTATATAAAGTATATTGGTCATTTAACACATTGCACGCGCGCGCACGTGCATGCATATGCATGCATGCATGCATGTGCATGATGACCATGTCATCTTGTCTACACTTTTAATATATATAAATATTTTGAGTATCAAAGCATTTCATCAAAAAGTATCAAAGTTACGACTATATCAAGTATATTTGTCATTTTAAGCTTTGCGCCTGCGCACACGTGCATGCATGTGCATGTTGACCATGTCATCTTGTTTTCACTTCTAATATATCCTTATATTCTGAGTATCAAAGCATTTCATCAAAAAATATAAAAGTTACAGCTATATCAAGTATATTGGTCATTTTACGCATTGCACGCGCACGCACGTGCATGCACGTGCGCGCAAAATGACCTTGATTCCGCATATCTACAAAACATGCCTATTAACCCTAAAAAGGTTTCACCTCAATCGGATGAGTAGTTGACGAGATCACTCGCGGACAAAAAAGTACCCAGGAAGAAGAAGAAGAAGAAAAATAATAATAATAAGAAGAAACAGAGTAAAAACAATATGTTCCCCAACTTCGTTTGGGGAACATAATTAGATGTTCCGAATCCACTACAATTTCTCAAACATCTAACAACATCCCATTCGGGGTCAGGTCAGAGCGACCTTTCAATTACCAAATGAAATCGCTGTCTCTGAAATCTTGGCTTATAGTTCGGATGCGTTTCTTTTTTATTGCCAAACCTAAACGCCCGAGGGGTTTCATAGTAAACAAAATATGCATGGTAAAGACCGTGCTATATATGAATGTGACGTGCAGGATATATACATGATATAGACGTATAAGTCTAGTTTGTGCATTTTCATTTGTATTATTCAGGTAAAAATGCCAGATTGGCGGACTATACGTTCAATTTATACCAAAATTACTTTAATTCAATGTAAGACAGTCTAATGAGCATCAATAATGTTAAGATGTAGCAGTGGAACTAATTTTAGAATCGTATATAGAAGTTTGAATCTGATTGGCTAAAATGTTTATGTTTATTCATAATCGAAAGGTCTCTCTGACGTGACCACAAATGGGATGTTGTTAGATGTTTGAGAAGCGGTAGCGCATTCGGAACATCTAATTTTAATTAGATTGTTTCAGAAGAGTACAAGATTGAATATTATTACCATGATCACTGTACCAAGGTGTGACTTTTTGTGCATGCTGTGAAAATAACACATTTAAGAAAAAGTGTGATTAAATAGCTAAATCAAGCTATTCTGAATAGCTTAATAAAGCTATGTAGCTAAATCAAGCTTTATAGCTAAATCAAAAGATTGTGTGGACCTGTATAAGTCATGCGTTCATTACCCTGCCTTTGGAAAACGTACGACCTTTGTTTAAAATAACAAAGGAATATGCCAAGGATGCTTTGAGATCACTTGGTCAAAATTAACATAACACTATTAATGCAAGGTATATGCACGTATACATACTCACTTTCGTCCATCAAAAAATGAATCAATTTTTCCAGAAGTAACCTGGAGACCTTGTTGTCGGGAACATAATCAGGTTTGGTAAAAAAGTTATTCAATAACATAATAGCATCCGTGAATATGATTCCAAATGGATATATCTCATCCGCATACGGACGTGTTTCGCACGATGCTCGAGAAAAGCTTATTCCATAACCTGCCGCAGCATTGCATGATGTTATTTCCTGAGCAATTAGTGGATTTCGTCTGTCAAAACACAACGAATTGTACGCACTTTTAAACTGATCCAACTCTTTAAATTGTGCCCTAAATTTTTCAAAAACAGTATCTAATTTTGGTTTTTTGGACGTACTTGGTGAAGTTGGTCCAACAAAATCAGCCATGATGAAAGATTTTTTTTCTACTTCCGGTGCGTCGATTTACCCAAATGGACACAAATTTAAACAAATGGGCCCAAATGGACCCAAATGGAAACCAAATGGACTCAAATGGAAACCAAATGAAAATCAAATGGAAACCAAATGGAATTTTAAATATATATATTATCGTATAATCAACTGATCAACATGTTAACTAACATAAGAGAATAATTACTCATTTCTCTAACAGTGTATTTTTAAAATACGATTTTTTTTCTATCGGTACATGTAATAAATATTGCATACCATTTAATACGAAATTGAAGCAATACATATTAGTTTTTACAGAAAAGAAATTTGATTTAATAATTAATTTTTAATGAACTTACGAAAATGGAAATATATGATTTATTCAGTCAAAGGTTTATTATAAAATTAAATGTTATTGCAGAGAGTTACATGTACTATATGAAACTTGGTCTTAAATCTTAATTTATTTAATTTTTACTATATATTGGACAAATTGCAGGCCTTCGGCCTCAAGGTGTATGGAATAAAATCCGGGGTAAATCCCCGTACACCCTTGATTGGACCTGGATAACTAATAGTACATGAGGAACATGAATTTTCATATAGACAAAATACAACGTAAAGTTAAGGAAGCGTATTATGGATAATAATCAGTAGAATATCGCTAAAAACAGGCAAATATTATAACAAATAAAATCAGATTTTTTAATTAATAATTCATTGGAGACATAAGAATATCAAAGGATGACTGCACTTAAGGACAGGCGAAATTTTCGACAAAATAAACTTTCAAAACAAGCATTTTTCTTTTCATTGCAAGAATGGTCAACATCCAATCTACAACTTTATTTAATTACGTTTAATAAAAGTGTGTATTTACGAAGTTCGAATCTGTTTTCAAAGGCAGGGGTCATCACAATTTCTTGAATCTCCGTTCGATAAAGAGGACGCCCGCTTTTTTACCGACTTCATACATAGGCAGCGCATGTTTGTCTATTGCTCTACGTTTAACAGTAGTTGTATATTTGCATAAACAAGAAAACATTGATGTAACCATCAATTGTCGCCCGGGAAATAAATAAAGTAAACAATAGAAATGAGTTTTGATCATCAAACCACTTCGATATGTGTGAAAAAGGCATGCGTCAAAATGATGGAGACGATATTTTGATAACTTAAAGTCGGATGAAAATCGAACAAAAACGATACCCTTTTAAACTTTATCAGTTCCTCAAGTAAATGTTGGCTGCATAAAATATAATTTGAAACCAGACACATGATTCACCTATTTTCAAAAATGTCTTTCACTTTAAGAATATAAAACACGAACTGTGTAAAGTACATTTTTACGTTTTTATGCGATAAGTAAAATTCGATGTTCTAAAAAAAGGGACCTGTCGTTTTTTCGATAGTAAATGATAAGCAACTTTATATATTAAATATGAAAAACATCTATATTTTTACAGATTCACTTTATGGAAGTAAATATATTGTGTATCTCGTAATTTATAAAGGGAGAGAACATTCTGATTAAAAATCTTTTTAATGTTTAGAAAACCTTTAATTCTGAATAACTTCTCCCACCTCAATCCCCATATACCAACACTTAAACTTATATGTATAGAGCAGCCCGGTCCTCCGGGCTGCAATAATAATGTGTCAAAAGGAGATTAATAGACAAGCATGCGCTCATGGTTAAAAAGAGAAAAAACTGCTTCTTCTTACATTCGCTCTCTGTGTTGTAACCAAGGGTTGTGACATGTTGAATATTATAATTCACCACGTGATTTCTTACCTCAGGTAACTTTGTGATACTAAATTCCGTCACGTGACTTGTAAGGTAGCATCTTTTGTGCTAACTAGGACATTGTGTTCGAACACGTTAAGTCATCTGTCACTGATATAAAATCTGCTTTAATTACATTGACGTGCTCCTATTGTTAATTTCGTTTTGAAACCATTGTCATTAGTGTATTTGTGTCATACAGAATGGAGAGGGAGATTGGAAAGAGTGATCACGTTCTTTTTTCCAAACAAGTCATTGTTATTTATCAAGTCTAATTTTAGTCCCATTCTTACAATCTTAGCTCCACCTCTTATGCATATCTTATGTTCAATCAAGGGCAGGTAAGTGTAAAATCTCTATAATTGGAAAGCAGTAAGGACAAAAAACATTGAATCACTTTATTGTATCACGGTCTAAAATCATTTTAAGATTTAAATTTGGTTCCAAATTGACAGGATTTTTTCATAAACATACAACAGTGAAACAAGCTTTAGATATAAAAGCAACAGAAGCAACCGAAAAAGACCCAAAAACCGGCGTTAAGTGCAGTCGTCCTTTATGAGTATTTACTAACTGTTTACATGGGTACAAAATTTCTCATCAATACATTCCTTATGTAATGAAGATAAAACGAACTCTTAATTATACATAGTGGAATTCATCACCCAAAGCCTTTTTATCACATTAAGGAATGTCTGTCTATACAGAGACATAAAAACATGGGTTTATAACATTATTATATGTCTCTGGTCCGGTTCTGAAACTGATGTGTATTTGTTTAAATATCAACGTAACGTTTAATTCATAATAAATAAATTCTATTAATGTAATACATCTTTAATCCTTTGCAAGGGAGCTTATTATACTAAAGTACATTTCTTGTCTAAAACTGTCATCATCATCGCAGCTGGGTTAAGGACGCCCATGAAATATACGCATTTATATATTCAGGGAAAATTAATACAATTTTAATATTTTTTTAACAGCAGTAGGTTTGATAAATGTGAATTATGTTGATTGCATTTGTGTATATCGGGTCTCTGCTGAGTTCGGCCAAAGTGACATCGCTTACATCAGCTGTTCGTCACGTGACAGGATTAAAATTGGACCATATATGCACTACTACAAAGATCGTAAAAGTTCAACGATATACGGGCATCTTTCCGCTATAAAATTTATTTTATTTTCTTTGAGACAAATTCCTTAACCTGAAAAGTGCTGGGAGCAACTTCCTCATGCTCGAGAATTGTTTAAAATTTAGCCGTCTTTCTATAAACTCCAGACAAAAATGTAATACGCACTGGAATAATGTTAGATTACGGAATAAATAAACAATGTACAACCAGCTCCCAGCATTTTTCAGAATAGTAGGAATAATAGCTACAAATGTTTAAAAATTCAGAATTTATAGTGAAGCGGATATCGTTGAACTTTTGATATTTTCGAGGGGCTGGACCCCTCATTCTAGCACGTTACTGTACAAATGTGCTCCCTACGGCTATATATAAAGTCTGCACATTATCAATTTAGTTTGACAATAAAATGTGAATTAATATATTTCAGAATATGTCTCTCTTTTTGTTTGACTACGCATGTTTCGTATTTATTTTTATTTTTACAAGCTACGATAAAAGCTTGATCCACGCCTCAAATACAGAGAAATGCGTGTCAAACTAAGAAATGACGTCATCTCAGTAAGTACAGCGAGATCAAACTGGCTTTCATTCTGATCATACATAAAACAAATTATACACAATCAATCTCCTAGACAGAGTTGTCGTTCGTTTATCTCTCAGACATGTATGAACCGATGGCAGAGAGTGAAAAAAAAAATGGCGAAGTAACCATGGCGGTACAATATGAATATTGTTTGTAAGTACTAACTTAAATGAATAAACTGATAATAGATTGCATTTGTCATGTCTCTGATAATATGTTTGACGGCGTGGCCGTTGGGGCGAGAGGAGTTGTATTTATTACTTGTAAACAATCAACTTTCAACTTAGATCTGCCTCTTGGAAGGTTAAAGGTCAGACGTACTCAGTCTAGACTGTGAGTGACAATATTCGTCATATATTAGTTTTGAACTTTCACATCAAATATTTTCACACGTTATATGATGCAGAGTCCTCGTTTGAATCTACCACGTCGTCCTGTTCGCGCTCTGCCCACCATATGGGAAACCAGCCTCATTCGGGTACTATGCAGTCCCCGGTGTCGCACCACCAAGACACTAAAGCTAGTGATACCAACACTAAGGATTCATCTAATCTTAGACTGTTAACAGTAAATTGCTGTAGGTTAAGAACAAACCGTAGTGAATTCCATACTGCACTAGATTACGTAAAACCAGACATCATCTGTGGCACAGAATCCTGGCTAAAAGGGATCAAGCCAGGTTTGGACCTTATGGAAAATGCTATTAAGAACAGTCAAATATTTCCGAGTGACCTTATTGTACATCGAAATGATTGATCACTAGGTAATGGTGAATGTGTGTTTACAGCAGCGAAAAGTGACTTAAACTTTAATGCACAACCACAACTTACAACAGCATGTGAAATTGTTTGGTCGAAATTTAAAACTTGGAAAAGGAGAGATCTCTATTTATATTCCTTCTAATGCCCTGTTCACACGGAGAGTTTAATTCGTAGTAAATTAATTCGAAGTAAAATAATGCGAATTGAACTAATGCGAGTTAAATTGCGTTCACACGACAGTCAATGCGAAGTAAACTAATGCGAATTAAAATTTTTAAATTTCTATATAGTAAGGCTTTTATGACGTCATTTGCTAATCACGTCACCTTATGCAGAGTAGGTTACATTTGACATAATATCGTATTGTCTGTACAGAAGTTTAGTGATAAACTTAATTTTTCTTTGTTTTTCACTAAAAACAGCATACGTTCCGGTTTCTGACCACCGACATGTGACAGGTGACTTAATTTTGCTGTTACGCATGCGTCAGAATTTAATTCGAATTAGCTTCGCTTAGCGTTCACATGGAGCTAATGCGAAGTAATTTAATGCGCAGTAAATTAATTCGAATTAAACTAATTCGCATTAAATTCTCCGTATGAACGCGGATTAAATTTAATTCGCAGTAACTTACGTTTAATTCGAATTAAACTCTCCGTGTGAACAGGGCATAAATGTCACATCGTAACAAGAGTGACATCGCCAAATGCCCGGACGTGGACTGGGGAAACTTGTCTGTAAGGAAATAC